GTAGGGAAGCGGAAATGCTCGGATTCATGTCCAAGTTGTCAGCTTTCTTGTGTGATTTTTGCTGTGTGTGTCACTTAAATCTTCTGCTTGCTGCTTTACTTCCTAGGACTGTTGAAAACACATCTGAATTTTTGTATCTAGTCAACAAAGGCCTGCAGCTGAGGGTCAGGCACCCAACACTGGTGCACGCTCATTCCTCTCGTTCTCATCTGGTAGTTACTTTGACCATAACCGCAATCATCTCTGGAGATAACTTTGGTAAGTGGGATGTTACTAAAATACATCTAGAGTCAGTTGCTTTTTGAAAAACAGTCTGTGGACTGAGAAATGTTCCTACTGTTTTTCCTCCTTTTGCCAATGTTTAATGCATTCCCTCAGTTCTTCTCCATTGTTTAACTTCTATGGGTCTTCTTAAATAACCAGTTTGATGTTTGAATGCTACTGAAGCTTTCACTGTCATAAACACTTTTCACTTTTCTTTACGTGTCTTGACGTAGAGAGTTCTTGAAGTTTTATAGCATGAAACAACTAATGAAATAAATTTTATCAATAAGTCATAAGATAGGGTATAAGTTGAGATATCAGTAAGAGAGGTACTCAAATACAGTAGTTAAATCACTTCATGTGACATATCATATAATTATTCTTGCTAAGTGTGTGGTAAAGCTAACCGTGTGTTTTAGGGATCATCGTATACTGTTTGGTGATAACTAATTTTTTAATCACTGCCTTGCAAAAACGTCCATAAATGCAGAGTCTCTTGAACTGTTAATAATAGGTCACTATAGGAACAGACAACGCAGTTGTCTTATTTACTATGGCAAAACCTGTATTTCTACTTTTCATTACCACACCAAGTCTTACCAGTTTATTGTTTTAGGAATAACTTCAGCTTTTGGGGGTTAACTTTGTTTTCTTTTGCTCATGTTGTAATTAGGCTCTCTGCTTCCAGTGCTGTGGTCCATCTCCTTCATACTCTGCAACAACAGTACGGTTTTAGAAAGTGGAAAATATTTAACATTTTTTCCCTTAGATTGCTATCAGAAATTAAACCGACAATATTCGCAAAACAGAACAAACAGTGCCCTTGCTTACCTATAGGCCTTGCCAAAAGACACAGTTGCTTCACAAGTTGCAGCTCCAGTGTTCTGTCCAGATGTTAGCTCTCACCAGATCCAGATTCTTGTCAATCAGACAGATGTTACTTTTCAGAACACAGTGTTTAGTCCAGTCTTCCCTTTGCCATTTTGAATTGCAGTCACCCTACTATGCCATGTTGTCTGGCAGACATTTCTGTGGTGCTTTGCTGATTTATACTGAATGCAGACACGGGCCTTCAGCTCATAGCACATGGATGAAGATGAGCAATACTGAGGGGCGGAGCAGCTCTGCAAATGGGACCTCGTTTTAGCAGTGTGACAACACATTCTGTTATGTTTAAAAGGAGAAATTCCTGATTTAAACGCTAGGTGCATTTGTCAGATATCTCAACACCAGAGATCTAAGTCAATAAATAAAAAGTTGTAAAGCCTGTGATGAGTCCTGCACCTAACGCCAGGGTTGACAAGCCAGCACTTTTTCAGGTTTAAGGTCTTTTAGCATTTTGTTTCAGTAACGCCTGTTGCTTGAGGAGAGCAGTTTCTTAATTTCCTTGTCTCAAACTGAAGAGGAGTGAGAATACTTATTTTCACACTGTATGGCCTGAAGCCATTTATTCTGTGTAAACCAGCACAGCTGCTCTGTTGTCTGTACTCTGAACAGCTAGCTTGTGTTTTAGCAACAGCCTCACTGGAGAGGTGCAGAGCTCTGCAACCCAATTCAGGCTGTTACTTACTCAAGTTTTGCAGCTGGGAACTTTGTAGTATTACAACTAGACTCTTTAAGTCTCCAAGAGAGTCTGTTGTCTCTTGTTTCCTGTAGCAGAGAGTGTGCCTTTTGTTCTTTTATGCCTTTCAGAGAGAGATGGACGAAAACCAAAACACTGAAGAAAAAAAGCAAAACTGCTTTGGGGAAAGCCCTTTTGCATCTACTCCTGCTAATCTAATGTCAAAGCAGCTTTCCCAGAGAATCTGTCTTCCTCTTCCTTCCCAGCAGAGAGTGAAAGTCAGATGCTGCTGCTGCTCAGGAAGAGGAAAGAAAAGCAGTCTAGTGCAGCTGCAAAACTACCAGGAGTAACCAACCTGAACAAGTGGAAGTAATGCTATTACTCATCATGCAGAGACGCAGCAGTGGCACATGAGGGCTGAAGGAAAACTGGAGGGAACAGCAGCAAAGGACAAAACAGAAGAGGAGGCAGGATGAACTTTTTTTTTTTTTCCTTTCCCCAGAGCAGCAGCAGCAGTTCATGTTTCAAATGCATAGAAACAGACTTCAGAGCTTACTGCTCCCAAACATTCAAAGTCTCACTTTGGTTGCAGTCAATCTAAAATATGAAAAAGTATCATACAAAGCCCTTATACTGGCTTTATGTATGAAACTCCTGTTTCATGTTTTCCACAAAGAATTATGAACAACAGGGATATTTGATACAACAGAACCTACACCCAAGTCTGGTATGATGGGTTTGATAAGCAAAACCTTAAGTAAGATAAAGTCATTCAGCCTGCCTGTGCCATTGATTCTGACTTATACTTTGCTTCTGTTAGAATGGCCTGAAACCGCAGATATTGTGCTTCCCCTACTGAAGTCCCATTTTTCCCATCTTAGTTTCCAGTGTTAGTGAGAAGCTCCCTGTGTTTGTTTTTTCCATTAACCAGGTACTTCGTGGGAAGATGAACAAATCAGTCAGAGACTAAATAAAGAGGTTTCCTGCACCTTTCCACAAAAAATGAGAGACAGTAAATCCACATCTTCTTCCAGAGCCTCTTCACCATCACAACTTGAAGTAACTGAGAAGCTGAAGCAAGTCAAAACTAGGTTGCAGCTGGTGGATCTGGCTGGCAGCGAGTGTGTTGGTAAGTGAACTTAGTTTATGTTTCTGGGCATGGATCCTCCCAGATCCAGGTTACAATGGTTGCCTTTACCTCTTTATGTAAGGGTATGTGCTGCCCTGCTTTCACACAGGGGGTGGTTTAAACCCACAGATCCTGAATAAACAAAATCTGTGGGCCTCATTGTTCCAGTTTTACACTGGTACAGTTCAACAGAAAATCTGACTGCGTAAGCCTAAAATAAGCCCAGGGCGGTTACCCATATCATAGGTATATTATTTGTTCAGACTGGTTTTATTGGGCCTGTTTTTCTGCTCCGAAAATTAGCATGTCTTTGTACAGAAATGCTTAAAGTGCATAAATTATTTAAATATTACAAACATCTGTAATAATTGATATCACCATGTGTGGGTTTTTCTGCCTTATGGTGGAAAAAGTCTTGGAAGAAGTTAGTATTGAAAAGATAATAATGTTTTCATTGTTTCTTCAAAGCATTTTTCTTCTCCTCCCTCCTCTATACACACAATAATTTCAAAAACTTGATTATTTCCTAAAGGACAAGCTTTCTTACCAAGAAAAGCCATGTAGCCAAATGTACCATTCCAGAAATAATGTTTTGAAAACTGAACCAGTATTATGAAAGGATCTTTTACTTTACTGCCAAGAATTCTTGCTGTTGCTCACTGTTAAACTTTTGTTCTACAGAGAAACCTAATATAATACATGATTTTTTTCATTTGCTTTAAGTGCTGGAAACTGCTTGGTAAACGTGTAACTGAGCAACAGTGTGCGTGCTTGTTCTCTCAGTCCAACCAGGATGAACGTTGCCTTGGTCTGACCCTCGGCAGGCCCAGATCCTCCAGTGCAGCCCAGGAGAACTGTGCTCACTGACATCGGCGTTAGCTGTGGCCCAGCACGCCCAGCAGACAGACCTCAGCCATCAGCTGCGCTGGTGGGGAGTTCCAGATGCTGGACTTACTCTGATAAAAGGGAGGGCAGCTGTTAACTCATGGTTGTTTTAAAATGTGGACAAATCTAAGTGAGCAGCAGTAGCAGACATCTAACACGCTTTAAATATACATCAGCACCCTGCCTTGTTAGCTCCACAGCCATCCTGGGTCGTTTACAGCATTTACTAAGTGGTCCCTTGTTAGCAAACTGTGTTTCAGTTTGAAAGGTCAGCTAAATGCTTTGTGGAAGTTCATTAGACCAAATGCAGCTAATCAGCAGTTTGAACACTTATCTCCTCACCTATGGCAGTTTTCTGCTTTAGGGTAATAGCCATTCTCTCAGGAATCCACCTTCACTGACTGTAAAAGAAGCCTGGGGATGGCCGCAGACACAGACCCCAGTAAAGTTAATCTGAGATGCAGCCTATCTCAGATTACTGACACCCTGTGGCAGGGTCTTCCAAACTGTTTTCTTTTGTGCCTCTCTGCAAAGAGACTCTACCATTTCAGCCCCATCCTCTCCCACAGTCTTATTTCTTCAGCCCTCACTGTCCAGACTTCTGGTTTGCATTGGTTCCTTGTTTGGTTTTTTTTTTCCTGTTACTGCACCTTTTCACGTTGCCTCATGAACACCTCTCTTGTTCTCCCAGTTGGGAAAATGCTGGCCTAAAGGAAAAATGAGCCTAGGCTCTCTCTGCACAGCCTTTTTGTCTCTCTAGAGATGGGACAGAAGGCAGTTGCGGAAAATGTTAGCCCCTTCTGACCATCCCACTATACCATTACTCTGCCTAGAACAGATCATGTGCTCTGAGCAATGAGAAGTGATTGCAGATGCATCTTCAGCTCATCCATTATCCTGAAGAAAGGCTGAATTTGAATACTGTGGTGCTAAATGCTAATAGCAACTTCCTCTTCCCCAAATGGCAGAGGTGAGGACATTACTCTTAACTGCACACTCATCCAGACTGATCACAGAGTTGAGCTTGCAGCACCTCTTGAAATTGGTGCAACTTCATTTGTAGAGCAAACCTTTCCAGTGTTGCTCGAGGGGCAGCAGAGCTACATCCCACCACAATGCGTAGGTGGCAGAAGGGCATGGTTTTCCTGTATTGTACCACAGAGAACAGCACCTTACAGACTTTGGTGAATACAGACCCCTCACGCTTACGGCTGCTGTACAGTTTTGGTTTTGCAGCTTATGCCATCAGAGTCCCTCCCGTTCTTCCTCAGGGATGCAGACAGGACAGTTAATTATTATAAAAAATGGAGGAACACAACAGGCTTCCCTCTGGGGACACTGTGGATTGGTGTTTTCAAAAGTAGTGTTGTCTTGTCTGATCCTGTGGTGTTCCTGCTTTCTCAGTTCCATAATACATACTGAGCCAAGATGCATTGCACAGCTGAAGAGATCAACTTTAACATGAGATACTTCAGACCATCTGCAGGCACTGAGCCTTATTTAATCCTCCTTCAAAGAGTAGAAGCACTGAACAACGTATTGGCAGTCTGCAGTACACAGTCTGCACCTTGCTTTTGGCATGGGTGGAAGTCATGGTTCAGAATTTGTGTTCAAAAATGCTGTGTCTAAAGTAGATGCAACAGCAACAGAATTTTTCTGAATTAGAGTTGAAGCAGCTTTGCTCAGTCTTACCATTGCCCTTTTCACCACTGTACCAGGTATGTCTGGAGTGACGGGCACAGCACTGAGGGAGACATCGTTTATCAACCGCAGCCTGTCTGCCCTAGCAGACGTTCTTGGAGCAATAGCAGAGCAGCGATCTCACGTACCATATCGAAACAGCAAACTTACACATCTGCTTCAGGACTCCATAGGTGAGGGATTATTCTGACTTTTGTTTAACAACACAGATTTCTTTTCCCAGTCTTTCCCCTCCTTTGTTGCGTAAAACCAGAGGATGATCTTGTAGATCAAGTTCAAGGCTCTTGAGAGCCTTGAACTCCTCCCAGATTTGGCTAAACCTTGCTGTTTCCAAGGTTCAGTTTAGGTATATACTTGTAAAAAGTCACAGCACCTATAATAGGATCATGTAAAGGGTAATTATTGCATTTCATTGGTGTTTTTATGTCAGCTGCAGTTGACAAATTAGGCTTTAATCTTTATTGCTACAGGGTGTAGTCACATATTTGCACATTCCTTAATACTGTGTCCTGTAGCAGTAAGACAAAGGAAGGAGACGCTGGAACACATGCATGTACTGTGCTGCTACTTCTTTTTGTGTTTGGGTAACCTCCTTTTCTGTAGCTTCTCATCTATGCAGAAAGAGTTTTAAAGCAAGTGTAGTTCCCACAGTCATGTCAGATTTGCGTCCATCCATATGGTGCATTAGTCCATTTTTCTTCACCCAGAAAGCATCAGCCCTTTAGCCTTCAGTTCAAGGCACTGACAGTGACTGAGGCAAATTCCCTCAGAGCTTCTGAAAGACTGTTAATGTTTGCTTGAACTTCGAATTTCACCTAGCATTGGAGTCTCCACCATGAAAAGGGAAAGCCAAAGAAAGAAGTGAGTTTAGTGCCCATGTTGTATGGGCATTGAGCCTGGTTTTAACCATGCCTGGTATGTGGCTTGGGTGACACTGTTTAGGTGAAGTATTGAAAGAAGCAATTTCCTTGTTTGTTTAATAATTTTCTGTGAACTTGTAGTAATTCTGTTTTGCATTATTGTCACACAGATAATCCATTTTGCCGTTACACTGAATTTACAAACATTTGACAAAGCTTGACTGCCCGTAGCATACAGGCAGACTTAAGTGATGAAGCTGTAAGGGGACAAAAAATCTACGTTACAGATTTTGAAACATTTGTTCTACTGGGGCAAATAGCGTACTGTTAAATATAGACTTCCCTTGAAAGAGCTGGCTGTTTTCAGTGGTCCTCTTCACGGACCGTCTTCTGCTGCGTAAAAGCAATGGTAGCCTATGCTCGTTGTTTAGATAAATACATCACCGTGTATAACTTACTGAAAACAATGAGGTGAATAAGTATGTTTTGCCTTTTTCCTGCTTTTAGGAGGTGATGCTAAACTGCTAGTGATGCTGTGCATCTCTCCCGGCCAGAAGTATTTAACAGAATCAATGCAGTCTCTGGGATTTGGAACTCGTGCTCGGCAAGTTCAGAGAGGACAAGTCAAGAAAAAAAATTTCCCAGTGCAGAGTAAAGCAAATAAAACCTAAGACTCCTGTGGATTAAAGTATTATTAATGAGTTCCTCAGACTGAAATGTATGTTGCTGTCCTAAAGCCATTCTTTTAGATATCAACTGCCAGATAAAATAAACAGTCCTCAACATGGCATTAGTAAGCCATAAACCTGCTGATAATGTTCTTGCTCCAAAGAGAAGAGAAAGTACTGACAACAGCTACCAACTGTGGTGGCACAGAAATAAAATCAGGCTTCTTTAGAAAAGCTACTTCAAGGCATGGTTTTGGTGATGTGTTTCCTTTGGGCAAGTAGAACTAAGTCAACAGAGCCCTGATTTAGGATGGCTCGCTTCTGAAAGGCCAAGGGTACATTCTGTTATCTCGGTAGAAGACGGGAGTCTAAACACCAGTGCTTCAAAGCAGCAAGTGAAATACTTTCCCTCAGCCTGGATTAAAATGAGAAATGCCATCAGGGCTTGCTCTGCTGTCTAGCTTGGATGGGCTCAGTCTTAATGCATGATCAACAGGTAGGAGTGTGAAAGAACCCATCAGCTGTACTGGAATAAGGCTGTATCTGTTATCCCTCGGGAATGTAGCTTAGGAAGCAAATGAGGGATTACACAGCTTTTGAAAACACACTCAGGTTAAATGGTCGGAGTGGATCCCAACTCTGCTGAGTTCACCAACAATACAGCTTCGCCTATTTGGGGTTGTGGTGGGTTTTTTTTCTCCACAAGTGCTGAAAGGCCCTGAACTACAGGTCCTAATGGCACCTCACTTGTACAGACTGCTTTAGTAGGAGTCTGGCCTGTTGTTTCACTTGCATTTCTGAAGCACGGTAATCATATCACAACCTTGAAGCTGTGCCTGCATATTAAAAAAGGATAACTGCATGCTTCCCATCCACCACATGAATAATACACCAAAAACCCAAATCATGAGATGATGCTTGTCATCTTCAAGAGGCTTTCACCCTGTTACACTCATGTTGAGACATCATTGTGCAGGCTTTGTGAATGAAGTTAAACTGGGAGAAGTTTCAAGGAAATTGCAGCAGTGTTAGAGATGAGAAGTGGTTCCAAGATGAGTAGCTGGGTTTAAATCACATCTGATGTTGTTTGTGTGCTGCTTTATTGCTCAGCAGAGGCCTCAGGATCCACTCTGAATTTTTACCTCCATCAGTCTCTCTGCTGCTAGACGGGGAGTGAGGTCAGTGGTAGGTCACTGCAAGAAGGCTTAAATTGCAGTGACCTGCCCGAAAGGCTGGAGTTTATAGTACTCCAAGTCACTTAACCTTCACAAGCGTAAATATTTATCCAGAGATTATATAGCGTGCTATTATTGGGATTTCACCCTTGAATAGATAACAGCTGTTGTAGTCCATGCAGCGCTCTGGTGCTCAGAACATGAGCATCGCAACCAGAGAGCTGTAATAATACTTGTTTTCCTAAATAACGTCATGAGGGTAAAAATGCCTTAACATTGCTTGATTCCAGCAGTAACAGATGGGTAGGAAAAGAATCTGGGCACAGGACCTTATGAAGCTGAATGGTCACTAAAGCAGCCACAGTGAGCCTGGTCAATGAGGCACAGGAGCAGGCAGCTTGAAGTTCACCGTATCTCCTGGCAGCTGGGCAACTGAAGCAGTCCAGATTAGAGCTCTAAGAGAGATTGTGGCAAGGGAGGGCTAGCTGATTCCACCAGCATCTAAGAAGTTCCTCAAATATTTTTAAGGATTTGAAATTTCCTAAGTGTTACATAGAAATGTAACTTGTCACAAACTGCACTTTCTTTTCCTGAGCTGCTCTTCAAAACTTGGCATTTATTTATAACCTGTGTGGTAGGGGAAAAGCAGCAACACTCATTGTTAAAGCTGAGAAATAAACCCCTCAAATATCAGCAAATACCAGAAGTTTAAGCTTCTACATTAACATTAACTCTGTCAAACTGTACATACATGGCATTCCGTATTCCTGTTTTCCTTGTCAGCGTAGCACACCATTCGGTGTTTGACCTACACAATGAAGTGCACAGGACATGCAAGGCAGAAAAGTTAGTATTTTGCTCCAAGAACTTTCAGTTTTGGAATTTCCTGGGTAATAGAGATGCGATTGCTCAATCCTAGCGTCCGATGTGATACACTGAAGGAATGAAGGGTGAAAGTTGTAAAGGTGAAATAAATGGCTTTACACTGGCATCTTAAGCTGAATTCTCTTCTGCCCAAAGATTCACTTGGACCTGCTAAAGGAGAGGCAGAAGCATATAACTAATGTCCCAAGGAGCAAGGAAAACAGCATGTGCAAGGCCCTATACTTCTCTGCTTGAACTCTTTTAGTTTTCAGAGTTTTCAAGCCTTGAAATCACAGCTATGGTAGAAAAGCAGGTGTGAGATGTTCACAGAGCTGACTTTAAGGTTTCCTTTGTTGACCAAAACCTATCCTGACAAACCAGTCCTCATCCTCTCTCCTATCCATGATCGGCGTGCCTCCGTGGCAGTCAGCATCTCATCCCCCTCCCCTGGGCCTCCTGCAGCAGCTCAGCCACGTTGCACCTTCCACCATCCCCTGGCCACCCGTAGAGGAGAGATGCCTCCACGCAGCAATGTGAGGCACCACAAACCACAGCTACCTGTTGGATGGCCCCTTTGAAATTTATTCTGCCTTTTCCCTTGCCCTGCAGATGAGCTGAGCCAAACTATTATTGCAACAGCAGCGAGGAGCCTCCACCTCCTCCTCAAAAAGCCTACCCCCATAGTGTAACCACAGCAAACACAAGAGACTTTGGTCCTGTGAATACACTGGTGTTCAGCGTCCTGGTTTCAGTGTCAAGTTGGCCAAGGAGGCAATGGCCCGAAGCCTGACCAGGGCAGCAGCTGCTTGGGAGACCCAAGTTCTGGCACTCACACCAGCATACCCCGAGCACCTCATGTAGAGGTGGAAGCTGCTTCCACACCACAAGCACTCCTCACTCCCTGGCACCCTACTCACACACCCTCTAACACACAGGCTGAACACCCTCCCAAAAAGCAGAAAACTTGCACCCAGTCCAAAGGCACAAGTGAATGCTCTGGTTTGTAGGACATCTTGAGATAGGGCAGGGAAAATGGGACTCTGTCAGACCAATCCCTCAAGTCCTAATAGCAGCAAGCACTCATCTAGGGTAAAATACACAGGTCAGTGTACACATAGACCTACACAAAGTTAGCAGAAGTATAGACATATCCAGACAAACTTCAAGGCAGAAGTCCAAAATTTGGTCCAAAAGTACAGCTTGGTTCCCCCGTTTCTCTGTGGATTTATCATTATAGATGGAATTTATCCGCTCTGGATTTTGGTGCACCTTACCATACATGCCCCGAGAGCTGCCCCATGAGGAGTACATGGCTGGTGCACTGTAAATTCACACTGAATTTCCTAACACACTGCACCCCCTGCAGAAAAGCCCTTAATCTTCCTCACCACCTAGGAGTGTTGTTATCAGCAGAGCCCAAGGGAGCAAAGTGATCCATGATCTGCATCTCATCATGGGGCTAAAAATAAAAGGCAGTAATTAAACCAGCTGGCGCCTTTGGCCCACTCTTAAACAAAACCTTGACCTATGCTGACGCTTGAAAATTATATATTTAATTTCCATATGTGGCTCCATGCCTTGGCAGCAGCCACACCACAAAGAGAGGTTGCTCTTGGTTTTAGCCAGGCTAGGAAAACCATAATTAGCATTGGAAGGTTGACAAAAATGTTTAATTTGTTATTGAATTGCCGATTCCATTTGATGAAGCAGTTTTCCAAACCTCTGCAGAACGCAAGGCACAGGCAGAACACAGCGGTTGTTGGGAAAGGCTTTCGGCTCCTGCTGTGGACAAGCAGTTGCAGGCCGATGGGCTTGCAAGCCCCTTCCAACCAGGGGAGGAAGGAGCATGGAGGAGCAGATGGGCCTGGTACGCAGCAACGCCAAAGTCACCGCAGCCTTTCACAAAACCAACTTGGCCCTTGAGCAATGACACTAAGGTTGGCAACACGTCTGAACAATAACCATCCCAAAGCTGCCCCCAAATATTCTTTGGTGACATTTAGAAGCGAGCATGTCACAGCATGCCCCCGGGGGCAGGGAGAGCCACGGGTGGGCCACTGCAGCACTCAAAAGGTTTTGCCTTGCGCTTGCCAGTAGGCTGATGCCAGGGATTAAGGCCTCTGACTGCAAAGGCACATGGGTGCCATTCATTTTGGGGGTCACCTATGGCCTCCCCAACAGTGCTGGCATGCAGCAGAAGCTGCATGGAGCCACTGGGTAACACATCTTTGTGTGCTACTGCACATCCCTCTCTGAGCTCTTGGGCTGTGAGAGCATCTTGACGAGATTATTTTGTCTGCCACCTCACTTCACGACAACACTCCCCTCTGCCTGTGCTTTCACCTAAGAACTCAGATTAAAATAAATAAATAAATAAAATTATTTCTCTTCCCCGTGCCCAAGAGTTTGGGGTTGATCAGACAAAGCATTTGGAGGAGTCCCAAACTCAGTATTTCAATGACATGATGCGATGCTCCAAATTCGCCTCCTGTTTGTTCAGTACATGACATGAGATCAGCCTCAGAAAACCTACTGAAATGCTTACATGGTCAAGTGATCAGACATTCAGATGTCAGTACACTTCAAACAGCAGGGCCTAAATTCAGCAACAAAAGAAGGTAATAGCAGGGCTCCAGCTATCTGGAACAAGTATTTATATCAGCTTTGATAGAAACAATGGGGGAAGATATCCATAGATACCAAACTCCAGAAACAGGAGATCTGTACATATTATCCACAGACTTGCAGGCTTGAAGTTGCAGCTCTGCTCATTATGCTGGGTAACCACATTTAAGCTATCACCACCATATTCTTCCAGCTGCTTCGGTTTTATGCTTGCAAGTATCTCCTCCAACACGTGGGCCCTCTTGCCCTTTTTTTTGTTACATGAAATTGCTATCCTGGCTGGGGTGAGTCACTACCCAGCAGTTCACTTGAAGGCAAGCATCAGGAGTGGTTTTCCCT